GTGGACAGATACCTAAAGTCAGTTGCCGGATCAGCCGGGCTGTGGCTCGTACGTTGGACTGAGTGCGGCCAGCAGTAACAGCCTGGTTGATCAGGCCCTGATCCACCAGGAGGCCTGGTCATGGGCCGCGCCGCGGGGGCGTTGATCCCCGGAATAACTTCCAGGTAACCTCCAGGTATCCGTGGTCCAAGACTCTCCAGCCTGCTGCCATCAGATATCGGAAATGTTATCGGTATATATGTAGAAATCTTTAAGAGGAAGCTGGATCACTCCCTCCACCAAGTGACAGATCAGCCAGGCAGTGATGGCTGTGGGCCGGCGGGAAGCTGAAAGCAACAGCATAGTTGAACAGGCACTTAACAAGGAAACTTATTAGGAGGCTGATAGGGTAGAAAGGCTCAGGAAATTGGTCACAGGTTTAACCATTGCTTGTTATATGAGGTGGAAATCTTACCTTTACATCTTACGATTTTTTTATGGGACGATTTTTTTTATGGGGATGAACCGTTTTAACCAAGAAAAAACCTCAAAAGATCTAAAGCTCCGCTGAGTAGGTCACAATATAACTTAACTGCCACAGGAGAAATTTTCGTGTTTCTCCAAACACGAAATGCCACCACAGCTATCCTCTTCTCTTTCCTTTTTTTTCTCTCTCTCTTTCTCTCTCTCCCTCCTTTTTTCTCTTAGGTCCCCTCTTCCTATACTGTCTCTCTGCACCATGTACTCTACACTCTCCCTTTCTTCCAGCTTCCACACTGTTATCAGTATAGCCTCTTGACTCTTGGTATCAGCGTTCCGGTATTCTTGCAGCTCTCGGTAACTGCTTTCTTCCGTTCTGCTAAGCTAATATAACTACTTCCGGATGTGCGCCGTGCTTCATCAAAAGTTTCAAACAACTCGAGAAGTTTCCCCTTACTTTCCTGAATGTAAATTCTCACTCCTCGCCTGCCCCAGATTCTTCCGTGTGCCACGTGTTTCTCCCCCCCCCCCATTTCCCCCACACACACCGCTTATATAATATGGTAGTCGTAATTTATTACCATCTCATTGATGTGACGGGGATGGGGTAAGGGGATAGAGTACAGGAGGGGTGAAGAGGTTTTTAATTAAATAATATTAGGTACCTCTGAAGTGTGTTGCTACCCAGTTCTGTATATTTGTTACACAGTGGGAGAGCAAGTTAGGATATAAGCTACCTATGTTTCACTGTCATATTCCATGACACGGAATGGATTTTATGTAGTGGGGAGGTAGTGGGTGTGTGTGGATGAACGCCTACATTCGCATGCATCATTATATACCGAGTTATAAGTATCGTACTGGAAGAGTGTAGCTATAGGAACGGAGGCAATATGTGGTATAAAGCACTAGCCTATCCACTTCATTTTGAAATTCACTGGGGACGTTATAAACACGGTGCTCCCTTGTCCTGCTGTAGATTGAGAGATGATGTTGTAGAGAGAACGAGAGGCGAGGCTCAGGCACCAAGGTGATTGTAGGTGTAGGTCTTGCAAGACCTATTTCAGATAGTGAAATTATTTTGAAAAGCAGTGATGAATTATTTGGTGCAGATAGATACGGAAGCTGTAGTAGACAACTTTATTGTACCTGTACTTTACCAGTATAATTCTGTATTCTTCCCAGCTTTTGCAGTTAAGTAATAAATCATTGTACTTTCTCATGCAGAGGGTATTCTTGTCCCAAAATTATCCCCACAATTATAAAGTGATTAATTATTCTCTTTGATAAAGTACCTCTATAAAGCATATTAAGAGATTAGTGTCCAGGACTCATTTGGGCATTTAAGTGGAGAATAAGTGTTACTAAATATCTATAAGGAGATGAAGAGGGGTCTTGCATCTCTCGATATGAAGGGTAGAGGGTATGGATGATGGTCAACACTCGTACTGCTGAGCCCAATTGGATAGCCAAACAATTCCTATGTGACATTTGTTAGTATGCACTACCACCTGTAGCAGCAACACACTAGGGAATGCTGCTTGCCGTGCCCCTGCTAGTGTCACGTCAGTTTTCCCTGACGAATGCACTAACAAAGAGGATGGAGGAGGCGTTGTCATTGTTTCTGTCACGCTTGCTTGATCACCATGGGTGTAGAAAGTTTAGCGTTGCTCCCATGTCCCAACCTCCCTCTCATGTATGTATGTATATATAATCTGCTGAATAGGTAAAATTTGCGATTTTGGCTTAAATAGCAATGCTCTTCTTGCTGAATAAAGCAAGCAAAAATTTGTGTATGCAATAATTTCGCAAAAATCATTCTGAACCTAACAAAAAATTTATTTCATTGTGTTTGTTTATTATTAATTATTGTAAACTTATCTAAAATATATTTAGTTGGATTAGGCTAAATTAAATTGAGCTTGTTATAATAAGGTTAGGTAAGTTTTCTAAGGTACTTTTGGTACAAAATTATTAATTTTTACATTAACATAAATAAAAAAAATATATCTTTAAAAGAGTTTTTGCCAATTGATCAGTTTTACCTATTCGCACGAACAACCGAAGAAACGAAACAATACAAAATGCAAAACAACAACGAGGGAGGAAGTTGAATGAGAGCTCTAGGTCTTTCGTGTTGCAGTCGACACATCAAGAGCTTGCAGTTTTATATATTTATATATATATATATATATATATATATATATATATATATATATATATATATATATATATATATTATATATATATATATTTATTTATTTATTTTAAAATGTTTACTCACCTAGTTGTTGTTGCAGGGGTCGATTCACAGCTCCTGCCCCCGCCAGGTGTGTGTGTTAGAAATATACTCGTAGATACCCAGGTATCTACGAGTATATTTCATTGTTAAAGTGGTCTTTAATATAGGTCTCTGTAACAGCTACTAATAAATTATATTTTGTTGTGTCTTGGTTTGAGACCATGTGTGCTTACAATTATATGATGTTATTTTATTTGTTATTATGCTGGAGGGGGCAGTGGTTGATTTTGTTGGTATTAATATATGTGACTCGCATGAGCCAGCTACTGACAATTTTCAGCACCGAGTTGGTGATACATTCAAATAATTTTGTGCCCCTTCCCCCGTTTTTTTTTATTTCCTGGCACAAAAAAAAAAATTGTATGTTTGTAATTGCCACGTCCAGTGTGACGTTCGTGAGGTTTAACTCTCTCTACCTGGAGGTTACCTGGAGGTTATTCCGGGGATCAACGCCCCCGCGGCCCGGTCCACGACCAGGCCTCCCGATGGATCAGGGCCTGATCAACTAGGCTGTTACTGCTGGCCGCACGCAGTCCGACGTACGAGCCACAGCCCGGCTGATCCGGCACTGACTTTAGGTATCTGTCCAGCTCTCTCTTGAAGGCAGCCAGGGGTTTATTGGCAATTCCCCTAATGCTTGATGGGAGGCTGTTGAACAGTTTTGGGCCCCGGACACTTATGGTGTTTTCTCTTAGTGTACCAATGGCGCCCCTACTTTTTATTGGCGGCATTTTGCATCGCCTGCCCAGTCTTTTACTTTCGTAGGGAGTGATTTCTGTGAGATACCGGCGTTTTTTTTTATGGTCGTGTTTACATATGCCACTTTTGTCACAAATCTCATCAAATTTGCAAACGCCCCTTTACCTTTGATATTCCTTTGATGAGCTGCGAGAGTTTATAATCAAGAAAGCCCGGCTTTGGGTCAGGCTTGTCTGGTGTATTGTCTGGTGCTTGTCTGGTCAACCAGGCATTGTACTGACACACTTGAATGTTCAGTCTGCCTTGATTTATGGCGTTTGATTGGTTTACTATTTCCTTCATTTTAATCGAGCTATTGGTGCTAGCTTCTGAATAATTGTTGTGTACATCTGGTTTTACATAATTGCTTTCATGACTCACGAAAGCCCGGTGGCCTGGTGGCTAAAGCTCCCGCTTCACACACGGAGGGCCCGGGTTCGATTCCCGGCGGGTGGAAACATTCCGACACGTTTCCTTACACCTGTTGTCCTGTTCACCTAGCAGCAAATAGGTACCTGGGTGTTAGTCGACTGGTGTGGGTCGCATCCTGGGGGACAAGATTAAGGACCCCAATGGAAATAAGTTAGACAGTCCTCGATGACGCACTGACTTTCTTGGGTTATCCTGGGTGGCTAACCCTCCGGGGTTAAAAATCCGAACGAAATCTTATCTTATCTTATCTTAACACTATTGCACACATACCACGGAACGGGTGGGGTTAGAACCCATGACGAGTGAGTCGTAAAAGTGCAGGCCACCCGTTCCGTGGTTTATAAATGTTTTTTTCTGGTTTATGTGATAGCTTAAAGTTTAAAAAGTCGTGAGTCCTGGGGCACTGGTAGTATTCCTTAGTGTTATTATGGTACCCATTCTCTCACGCCAGTAAGCTATGTGAGGATTTAGGCGCTGGTCCTATGGAATTTCTTCGTATATATCTACATACTAATTAACTTTCGGTGTACTTAGAGGTGATTAAGCTAACTAAAATATTTTACTGCGTGTTGTGCAGTAAAAAGCAGTTTATTTTGCATCCCTGACATGCCACATGCTATCGTGTTTGTATTGTAATTGTACAGATATTGTGTTATCCTGGTAACAGCACTCACTTCAGGGGAACCAGTCATCCAATCTAACTAGTCTAGCCTAAATTATAACCGAAATAAATGTTGTTTCCAGGTGATTATTTTTTTTGGAAAGTTTGTGAAAATTGCCTTGGCTAATAACATTCTAGGGAACAAGAATTCAGTTGTACGTTTATATAGATGGGGTCCATCTCTGGTGTAAATTGTGGGACCCATACATTGTATCTTTGTTTTTTAAGCAAATTACATAATACTTTGTCATCACTGTCAGTACATTTGTATTTTGTCATTACAGGCCACTTATATTGACATAACCCATTATAAAGACAAACTTATTTGATTGGCTCATGTTGTACATACATGGGGCAGCCGTGTGTGCAGGAAGTGCTGCTACTAACCAGTTGTGTTTTCGTTTTCAGGAGGCGGTGGGGACGGGCCATGAGGGTAGTGGACGGTTGCCAACCCCTCCTCAGCAGCAGCAGCAGCAGCAGCAGCAGCAGCAGCAGCAGCAGCAGCAGCAGCAGCAGCAGCAGCAGCAGCAGCAGCAGCAGCAGCAGCAGCAGCAGCAGCAGCAGCCGCAGCCGCAGCCGCAGCCTCGCTCGCCGCACCAGCAGCAGCAAAACCAACAGCAGCTGCAGCTGGCGGGGATGAGGGTGTCGCCCGCACCACCGCTGACTGCAGGAGCCAACCCACCACACCCTCCACACTCTCCGCACATGTCTCCCGCTGTAGGTCAGTGCCGCCACTCTTCCTCCTATCACAATCACGCAAACACACACACCACACCCCACACACACAACACCCCACACAAACACACCCCACACACACACACACCCCACACAAACACACCCCACACAAACACACCCCACACAAACACACCCACAAACACAACACACACCCCACACAAACACACCCCACACAAACACACCCCACACACAACACACCCCACACAAACACACCCCACACAACACACCCCACACACACCCCACACACACCACACACCGCACACACACCCCACACACACCCAACACACACACACACCAACACACACACACCCCACACCACACACACACACACCACACACACACACACACACACACACACACACACCACACACACACACACACACACACCCCACCACCACACACACGCGCACACCCACACCACGCGCACACCCACACCACGCACACACCCACACCACACACACACCCACACCACGCACACACCCACACCACGCACACACCCACACCAGCACACACCCACACCACGCACACACCCACACCACGCACACACCCACACCACGCACACACCTACACCACGCACACACCCACACCACGCACACACCCACACCACGCACACAACCACCACGCGCACACACCCACCACGCGCACACACCCACCACGCGCACACACCCACCACGCACACACACCCACCACGCGCGCACACCCACGCGCGCACACCCACCACGCGCACACACCCACCACGCGCACACACCCACCACGCGCACACACCCACCATGCGCACACACCCACCACGCGCACACACCCACCACGCACACACACCCAACGACACACACACCACCACACGCACACACCCACCACGGGCACACACCCACCACCGCACACACCCACCACGCGCCACACACCACCACGCGCGCACACCCACCACGCGCCACACCCACCACGCGCCACACCCACCACGCGCGCACACCCACCACGCGCACACACACCCACCACGCGCACACACCCACCACGCGCGCACACCCACCACCGCGCACACCACCCCCACGCGCACACACCCACCACGTGCACACAACCACCACGCGCACACACCCACCATGCGCACACACCACTCGCACACACCCACCACTCGCACACACCCCACCACTCGCACACACCCACCACGCGCACACACCCACCATCACACACACCACACACACACCACACACACCACACACACACCACACACACCCACCACACACAACCACACCACACACCACACCACACACCACACCACACACACCACACCACACCCAACACGCACACACACACCACCACACACACCCACACAACCACCACACCCCACCACACACACACACACACACACCACACACACACACACCACACACACACATACCACAACACATATACCACATACACACCACACCACACACGACACACACACACGACACACACACACACACACACACACACACACACACACACACACACACACACACACACACACACACACAACATCACACACACACACCACACACACACACACACACACCCCACACACACCACACACACACACACACACACACACGACACACACACCCGACACACACACGCGCACACACTGCACACACGCGCGCGCGCACACACACACACACACACACACACACACACACCACATCACGCCACACACATCACGCACACACATCACGCACACACACGCACATCACGCACACACACACACACATCACGCACGCACACACACATCACGCACACACACATCACGCACACACACACACATCACGCACACACACACATCACGCACACACACACATCACGCACACACACACACACACACATCACGCACACACACACACACACACAACATCACACACACACACACACACACACACATCACGCACACACACACACACACACATCACGCACACACACACACACACATCACGCACACACACAGACACATCACGCGCACACACACACACACACACACACACACACACACACACACACACACACACACACACACACACACACACACACACACACTATTCCTTCTATTACCGCATCATCCGCTGTGCTCCAGTACGGACGGTATAACACTAGTCTTTTCTACCCGTCATATGCAGTCACCTTACTTCCTTTTTCCCACACTGTCAACCTTCCTCTCCCTCCCACTTTCTCTGCAAATCTCCCTTAATCTCCCTTTTCTTTCTCATAGCGTCCCTCCTACACACCACCACTCTTTCTAACAGAACTTTCCTGCATGAATCTCCACTATGATCTGCCATCAACTCCATCTACTCACCAGTACTCCATACTCTTCGAACACACATGCTTCCCTTTAAACCCTGCCCCCAGATCTCCACGAACACTCCTCATGTGTTATATCCATAAACGAAACGACAGAATGCTCGGCAAACATGGGTGTTGAAGGCTAAATAGTAAGTGAAACAGAGCTTAATATAGTCATGGCAAAGACAAAGCACTCCGGAGTAATAAACTGTGATATTCCTGGATGGGTACCAGATAGTAAGAAAAGGTGGGGAAAATAGTGTGGAAACTAAAAAAAAAAAAAAAAGGAAATGAACCTTAAGGTTGTTAAAAAGGTTTTATTTATGGTAAGGGTTTAGGGTGGCTAGCTAGTGTAACAAGTTGGATGGGAAGGTGGTGGAGAGAAATTCATTACACGGACTCATGAGTAGGTATGACTGTGCAAGAGTACAAGTCAGTGAGGCTGGTCAAGTTAGTGTATGAGGTAGGGTCAGGAGACCAGACAAACCTCTCAAATACATCCCCAACACGTCTTGCACTGTGGTCAATAACACACTTCTTCCTCACACACCCCTCTTCATGACTCTGCCATACATAATAATTACAGAAAATGCCGAGTATAGTTTATCGTAAACCATTTTTGTTCCTGGAAAACATTCACTCATGAGCAAATTGCCTTTAAGAATGAATTTGTCTACTGTTATGGTTTTACCTTTTGTCGAGCAACACGTACACGGATGATCAGGCAGCTTGGAACTGCAAGCATCGTATCCAGGTAAGCCCAAGCTGGAATCTCAGAGAGCGACCCTTTGACACTCATCGTTCTTTGTTCATCTGCTTCGTTTCCATCATGGTTGGGGATTCAGAGCCGTCCCGTTCCTGGTGGTCTAGTGTTTTGCTAGTTAACAATTATCTTTTTATGAGGGAAATTCAACTGATACAGGTCTTTGTTGTAAGACGAGTCGTTCAGTGGTGTCAGTTATATGCCAGAGCCCGGAAAGATGATGTCTAAGAACTCGTGTGAAGGCGGGATAGCCGTCGACACTGGCGGAACAAGACAACAAGTTGAAGAATGAGACACTTGTGCAACATCTCAGAATCTTTTTTGAGCAAACTTTTCGCAGGCTAGTGGCTTCTTCAGTCCAATATAGAGAATAACGGTGGAAGATGAGGAGGCGTTTGAGGTACTCAAACACAAGTAGGTTTACCAGGACGGATCCTGGCCTGGGTCTTCTCCATGCTGTGACCCGGCATTTGAAGTACTGATTACCTCAGAATCCTCCTCATCTTCCACTGTTATTCTCTGCATCAGACTGAAGAAGCCACTGACCTGCGAAAAGCTTCCTCAGTAAAGACTGCAAATGTTGCACAAATGTTTCATTCTTGGTAGATTCAGCCATATTATGATAGCCATATGGGCCTGCAGCCAAGTCGGACTGTGAGGGTAGAAGAATTCTTGAAACCGGCACAAGTTTCAAGTATGGTTGGCCACGCTAGCAGGGACCGCTGACTTAAACAGTGAACACAGTGGTGAGAGTGGTAGCGGGCGCCTTGCCACTTGGCTCAGTTCTTAATGTAGGCGCGCGGGCGAGGCCTCGCCAACACCACTCATTATCTCATCACACCTAAACTGCTCCTTTTTTTTCCTTCATTGTTTTTGGATAAGCAGGATCCGGCAGCCTTTTTTTTTCGCTTCAGTAGTAGTCTTGCTAAGTTTGCCATGAAGTCTTCAAAGCAGGATAAGGTATTATTGTAAAATGGTGACTAGTTACGTCTTATCACCGAAAATTAAGCCCGGCGTCGTAACGAAAGTGGGAACCAGTGACTACTGACTTTTGTTCCTTTACTTCGTCGTCACTGCAAAGTATTTGACACAACCCGGATGTTGTGACGCCATACATTCAGTCAATGAGTGAGTGAGCGAACACTTTTAACCTGAGAAGGAGGTGCAAGTTGCCCAGCGACACATCAATAAACACCCCATATGTACGCTTGTGTTTTCTGCTTCTAACCTGGCGATGTTGAGTTTTACTCTCCCCAGCTCTCTTCAGTTTTCATTAATTAATTTTGTATGTTTGTAAGGGAAGAAGTTAGAGATGCTCTCTTTTCCTTCCTCAGCGTGATACTCTCCTCTGCAGAAGTGTGTTAGTAGGCTGGGATCGCGGGAGTGTTGTTTCAGCCACGGTATATTACTGCTGCTGTTTTTGTGAAGAGTAAAGGCGAGACGTTAGTGACGTTCATGACAGCAAGTGACGTCATTGTCAAGAAACGATTCGTTGCAGAATAAGCTTTTTTATGACAACGTTTCGTATGTATGGAGCTTTACGTAATCATGGCTAACAAGGTTCTTTATTTTTATCAGTATGCCATTTGGATCCAAGTAATGTTATACTGTATTGAAACTCCTAGTCTGCTAGTTACCATATTGGCTACTTAATACAACAACAATGGTGATTGTTCCAATTCCTTCGCATCTTCTTGTCCTGGTGATACAGGTGGAGTCGTGCTACCCGGGTTCCAGTATACCCAAAGCTCTTTTTACATAATAATGTTCATCTAGAGCCACTGCTGTGGATATCGCAGATGAGCTACAGGGACGTAGCTCGTCTCCATCCAGTAAGCATCCGTGGTTCAAGATTGTTCAGTCTCCTACCAGTAGATATAAGAAATGTTACCAGAATAAAGAATAAAAAGTCACAATAC